AATTTTACTCTACACTTCTCTAAATTGAGATTATTAACAATTAAAGTAGCTTCAAGATTAAGAGCACAAGCTAAAATGACAATAAGATATATAAATAAATAGATCAATAATTTCAAATACCTTTGTGGCAACCTGGCATCACAGAAATTCATACATTTAAGTTTTGTTTCTTTGATGAATTAGCTTACAATAATTTTAAGTTTCACAACCTCAATAAAAGCATGTACTACGCATTCCAGCTCGAGTTCTCTATCCATCAGCAACCACTCGCTTAAATATTTTATTTTTTGTAAAGTTTTTTGCTTAAAGTTAATTTTTATTAAATTTTTTAATATATGGGAAATAAATGTTCTTGCTTATAAATATATTATATTATTTGTTAGAGTTTAGAAATCGCTTTAATTGTTGGAAAAACCTAAAAAATAAATTATCTTTTCAATTAGAGCCCCAATGTTTATTCAGTTCATTAAAATGTTATACAAAAAAACCACCTAGCAGAAATTCCATATGCACACAATCGAAACACAACACCCCACATATTTGACTTTTCAAAGACATAAAGGTGTGCATTACCTAGGTTATTAATAGGCCCACCGCCCATTTAGCGCCTCATTAAGCACTTTATGCATCATTTAAATTCAGTCAATAGTCGCAGGCTCAAAAATCTTGCAAATTTAAAATTTAAGCTCCGTGTGGGCTTATGTGTGTGAGCTAGAAAGCCGCAATCGCTAGAACTTCCGCCTAATTGTGCCGCAAGGCCAGCCAAAGGAAGCCTGCAACTGCTCAGGAAAACTGCCAATTAAAGAGCCGTGCCAAATGAGCGGGATATATGTGGTGAGGGGAAGGGAGAAGGGGAGAGAGGTCGCGAAAATATGGCCCTATTGACGTGAACTACGAAAAGCAGGCAAAATTGAATTTGGCAACATTCGTAAATTTTCTTAGACTGGTGTAGCGCACGGAAAGTGCGCAAATAAGTGAAATTGTAGCAGGAAAGAGAACGGAAATTCTAATGCGAATTTTATGGCAACACATAACGAAATTTGCAGCAGGACAGCAAAATGTTTTACATTGGCTGCCTTGGGAGCATAACTTAAATGCTGCACAATGTCAGGCCACTTGATATGCTTCTCTCAGACTACCCCGTCCGCCTCTGGCTCTCGGCTGGTTCTATGTATTCATGTACCGGAAATGTCTGGCATGCCTCATTGAAGCTCGTTAGCTGACTTATGCGGTGCTTGGAGCGAACTCATGTTGACAGCCCATGGCGGGCACTTTCAATTGAAATAAATCTTTACACAAAATTTGCCAATTTGTTGTCAGGCAGACACACACACACACACATAGACACTCACACGTATGTACACACATATCGCCCTCACATGACGCCACGCCCATTAGCCCATTACACACATCATGCACGACACGCCCATTGCCCCGGCGATATCCTTGTTGCCATTGTCAATACTTGAGCCTTTTTACAGCTCATTCTCAGCGTTTGTTTGCCTCAATTCTCGATTTGCTTTCATTTCGCCCTCCCCTCTCTCCATCTCTCTCGCTCACTCTCTCTCTCGCTCTCGCTCTCTCTCTCTCTCTGCTTTCTTCGCCAATGCACAAGTGCTTTTCTCAAGTGCAGATTAGCAAGACTTTACAGCTAATGTTGGTCCTTGCCTCTCACACTACAGACTACTCGCAATATTGCCCTGGGCTGTAAAAGAGTTTAAGTGTCGTCCTTAAAAGGCCCAAAAAAGCAACTTGAAGCCGAAGAGTTTATGGATAGTTGCGCAAATGATGTGTAGTTTTGTGCGAGAACATGTAAGCAATTGTCTCAGAAAATAATATCGCAAACTTTCTACTTAGGCAGGCTACATTTAAATTTAATCATTTTTTCAGCTTACAAATATAAATTTAAATGGCGCCCAAATAAGTAGGCAACACAATTTTTATTTGCCACATTTTGCTGCTGTGTGACGCACAAACTTTTTCATTTATGGTAATTTCTTAATTTCCATACAGCCAGCTCGTCCCTCTCCCCCTCCATTTAGACCCTCCCCTTGACGGTAGGGTGTTCATGGCGTCACGTGCGACAATGTAAAAATTAGGCTAATGCGAGTCTTTGTCGGCAGTCAAAAGGCTGGCAAAAAGTTGCCGTGCAAAGTAAAACGAAATCATTTGCACCTTTAAAAAGGCATTAAAATGCGACTAGGACTGCAGAGAAGCAATCAACGCTATATCCACACAGAAACTTCTGTGGGACCCGTGAGCCAAACAAATTAGAGCACGCACGAATGCATTGGCCACAAAAATGATTTGATGAAGCCTAGAACCAGAACCACAGAACCCATACAGAACACAAGAGAATGAAGCGAACGAAAGGCCAGGTAACTGCCACGCACGTCGTCAAGTGAAACTTTGCTGGGGGGAGGGGCCCGACTCCGGGGCGTGTCCAAGGCGGAATAATAATAATTGAGTAGCTAGCAAGAGGAAAGTACCCAGAAAGTTTCTGGTCATGTGAATGCCTACTAGAAATGCAAAATAAGAGCCTAAAGTGAGCACTGGAAGCTATTACTCCCAGATGGAGACACTACGGGGCGTATACGCAATTTAAGCCGCTTAAAGCCACCCGCCAGAAGCAGCTGCAGCAAAAGTAGCAGAAATATGAACCGAAACGAAACGAAACGAAATCTGTCGCTCGAGTTGAGTTTTGGGACTTGGCAACTCCAGCCGCTAAGCTGTACGCACATGAAATATCCAACGGATGTAACGAGACGCCAACGCAAAAAGTCCTTAAGCACGCAAAAAACATTTCACACGCCCGTCTCATCTCGTCCCGACTTCGACCTCAGTTTCAGCATCAGCTTCAGCTTCGGCCTGAACCAGCACTTAAGAGCGTCGATGTCATGATGATGATAATGATGATGCCGGGGCGACCAAGGAGTCAAGTGTCGGCTGAGCAGCACGCGTGGCTCAAAGTAACTGAAGTAGTGCAAATACCGCGACCGAAGCGAACTCCGGCGGCAAAAAGTGTTGAAGGGCCGCCCGCCCCCCTTCACATAGACATGAAGTTAAGTGGCGTAAAGCGTGTACTTAATCGCTTAAAGCATTACAATTTGAAATTGAATATCATAAAGGATATTCAAAGAGCGCGAAATAAAAACAAACTAACTAAAAAAAAACTAACCAGCAAATAGTTGTAAAATGTTTAGCAAAGCGGAAGGCAAGAAGACGCCATTTACCAACGCCATATTGAGTCGAAAGCGGGCTGGCTACACGTCATTTCCGGCACTCTCTGCTTTTGTTTGAAATAGTTGAGCGTCTATCGAGTTGAAGCAGTCTCTCGCAAAATGTAAACGCTTCAAGTGGAATGCAACTTATTTAAGATATGCAAATTCAACATGGCTCAGACGGAATAACATCGAGAAATTCTGTAGTTCCATTAAATGGCACTTAATTGGGTCGGCCATGCTAAAAGTTAAGGCCATAAAGTTTGATTGGTGCCACAAAAAGTTGCCATCAAGTTTGCTCAGTAATTATGTTTGGTTTTTATTTTGTATAGATTTGCGCCTTTAAAACGGGGATTTTAGCCGAACCTGTTTAAGCCTTAATTCGTGTTTTTCATTGACCCTGAAGCGAACCATTAAAAAGATTAGTTGAAACAAGTAGAAAGAATAACATTTGCACGTTGACCTAAACTAATCCCTAAAAATGGGCATAGGAAAGAAATATGAAGCAAACTAATTTCAATAAAATAAAATATGGAATTTCAATCAATAAACTAAAAAAATCAGTTGCGCAAGCAAAATACGCAAAAAAATAATTATTTCACACTTGCCTTTAATTGAATTAAGAGCCGGGCATTAAAACTTGACCCAACAAAATATTTTAATATTATATTTTTGAGGTTTTTATACCAAAACTAAAACAATTCGAATTTATTTGCCACATTTATTGTATCTGTTTTTCTTGTTTATTTGCGTTCTTGTTCATAAAGTTATAAATTGCAATTTGTTTGGCATTTGTTTTGCAATTAAAATTCAGCCCAGTTTGCTTTTTCGCTGCGGGGGAAGGAAGGAATTAAAACCGGTCGCTTTTTAGAGAGCACTTCAAAATGTTGCCCCAATGCCATTAAAAATGAATGACATTTTGACAATTGATGGCCGCGCCCCGGCCAAGGAATCGATAACATAAAATATGCATTACCCAGTACACAGCAGAGAAAGCAGATTGAAAGAATTGATGTGCAAAGGGAACGGGTGGAGATAGGTGGGGAGAGGGGGATGCCATGAGATCTGATGTGGGAAATGCGTTGCAGGGACAGCTGCCAATTTGCAATTTGCTTTTATCATCTTAATTTGATTTGAATCGTATTTCAAATGTTCGTATGTTCACATTTGAAGCTTGCGTAAATTAGCAGAGATATCAATTATTTATTTTGTAATTATTTGATGTACCTAATTGAAGTCCAACAACTAAATGTTCTCCTCAGCAGAACAACCAAACATAAATGTGCATGATTCAATTCCCAAATAAATGAGATGAAAAGCATCGAATGCGCCCAAACACCCCCTCGAACTTGCTAGTGCCCAGTTAATGAATCCAGCCTCGTCGGCTTGTTAATTTGCCATTATGCAGCTATCGATGGCAAAATAATATCAACCCTACATCGAATGCGAGTATGAACGGCTGTACGTATGCTAGAAAGGGTCTGATTAACTATTTGTTCTGTTAGGTATAAGGATATGTTCAGAACAACTAGGAGCCCGGCGCGCATCCCAGGCAACTGTATAAATACGATATTGTCTTGGCCAAATTACAAAAAATATGTGAAGATATCTTTAGAAGAATATGATGTAGTATCTGCCTGAAGTAAGCGAGAATGCCAAAAGCAAGAATATTTCACCAATGTAATAAAAAATTATTACAATTGTCGAACATTTTTAAGCTACCAACTTTAGCAGAGAAATATATTTTGTTGGCAAGCACTCGTTGAGAATTCATTTAATCCGATCTAATGTGAAAAATCTTGTCATTCTGATATTCCAAAAAAAAAATTCAAAACCTTATTCAAAATGTTGCCAACTTTAATGTGTCTTTTATTGCTGTTTGAAGCGGCTCGCGGTTTCATGATCACGGTCGATGCCCATGAGACGGTCTGTTTCTTTGACCGCGCACACGAGAAGGACAAGATCACAGTCAACTTTGAGGTAATGGAGGGTGGCTTCAAGGATATTGCCGTAGAGATTTTAGCACCCAACAATGACAGATTGTACCATGCGGAAGCGGAAACCAATGGCAGATATACCTTTGCGGCCATCAAGGATGGGCAGTACACGCTCTGCTTCGACAACACACAGTCCTCACTGACACCCAAGATCCTGATGTTCCATTTCATAGTCGTCAAGGATCTCAACTACTACATCGATCCCCACAAGCGCGCCGACGACGTGATCGAGCAGTCGGTCCTGCAGGAGAACGTCAACGCACTCTCCAGCCAGTTGATGGCCATCAAGCATGAGCAGGAGTACATGCATGTGCGCTATAAAGGACATTTGGAGATCAGCGACAATGTTCATTTTCGCATTATAGCCTGGTCCATCTTTGGACCCTCGCTGCTGCTGGCCATGACCATCTTGGAGATTTACTATCTGAAGCGTTTCTTTGAGGTTAAGCGTGTTGTTTAATTGTGCGTAAATAAATAATTGTCCTTTTACTCAGACAAAGCAAATAACTCGATTTACTCCTGTTGATAACAAGACTTGCTGCTAGTTGAAAAATCTTTTAAATGCATATATTTGAAATATGCTTAACATCAGCATAGATTTATTTCACTCTTATTAAGTCTGTGCTCAAATGTGACCCAAGCTTAACTTAATTTAACTGGATAGCAATAGTTGACGTGGTCTGCTTACACTATAGAGCCCGGACATTGTTTAAGCCTATCTGATATTTCAAATTAAGTTCTTAATTTGCCATTTTATTGGCAACAACTTTCCGACAAGTCAATTGACTTGGCCCATATTAAACTCATCATTGAACCATATATTCTTTCCCCCCTCTCTCATCACTCTCTCTTCTCCCACTATGTTAATCTTTGAGCCACAATTTGTTGCACATTTCATGCTTCACAGGCCATAAAACTTTCAAGCGACACCACACACACTTATACACATACAAATATTTCACACAAGCTTGGAGACATTCATGCATATGAGGAACAGGATAAAGTATCTACAACTTGGCGCTCAAGTATCCATAAAGTTCGCTTCACCTATAAACTGTGCCCACATTGGATTAGCACAAATTTATGGCCCCTACCGAGGACAATAACAACACGAGTAGCAGCAACAAACTTATCATATTCATACACAAGTTTCTTTCTTTTTTGTGGTATTGTCTCTAAGACCAGAGAACAAGCAGGGATATAGACAGGGGGTGGGAGGGAAACGCTGGAAAATAGATGGAAACAAAAGTTTTTGCCTCTTATTTACGACAATGTCGCGTCAAGTTTTTTGTTTCGCCATATAAGGCAGTAAGTTTTTTTGGAGTTTCTTTCTTACTTTTGTTGCATAATAAAATGAAGCATGCTGCCGGATTGGCAGCACTCGAGTCGCGGCCATAGAGTCAGCTCCTTGTGCTCAGTGCAAAGATGAACAGCTAAGCAGCTGCAAGTTTGCCAGGCACACAAAAAGGCCACGAGCCAGGACACAATATTGCTCCCTAGCGTCGAATGAAAGCAAAAGTTCACGAATCCAGTTGCGGCCTGGCTAACAAGTGGCAATCCACGGCAAGCCAGGCGACTATCTCCATGCGCCAGCTTCCAGTCGCCAGCTCAGCGCATAAAGTCCACTAGACAAAAGACGGGCACAGGACCTCACGCAGTTTGGCAGGACACTCGCGGCGCCTGCAGCTACAGCAGCGAGGTGTCACTTCAATCACGAACTTAACAATTTGATGCCGCTACATTCGCATATTCTTAAACACAAATTGTTAAAGAATGTTGCGAAAATAGTCGTGGAAGAAAAACTATTAGGCAAAACAAAGGACGTTCGAAGCCAGTTAGCTAGAGACTTGATAACTAAATAACAGTTGTACTCGCACTCCAAAAGAAAACTCTAAAACAGGTTTTCATTGGATAATTGTCAACTTTATAGATGCTTTAGTTTTCTGGCTTACTTGACTTGACCTGACTGCCCTTGCCTAATTCCCTTGATGATATCACTTTCGACATCGTCATCGTTGCGATTATCTAATGCTATGCAATTTGCTTGGCCTGACCTTAATTATGTTCTACATCCTTCAACGCTGTTCGCCTAATTGCATCGCTTGCTGTGCCCGTGCCACGGGCTCCCTTCCAATGCGCAGCCATTCAATTTTCTATTATGTCAGCGAGTTGGAAGCAATGCAATGTTAATAAAACATTCCGCATACACACACACACACACAGTTAATATCAAAGGCAAACTCAAGATGTCAGCGGCAGTTCGGAGCTGCCCTGGCAACGACAAACAGCGACAAGCGGCAACAGCGCGTATACGCAACGTGGTGCACTTTTGTGCTGGCATCTTTTTGCCTATTTACCCACCACACACACACACACACACACACACAGCACACAACAATGGCCAATATAGCCAAACATGTGTGCGTTGCGATGGGGAGCCACTGTTATTTGACATTTATTTGCCATTTCCCCCAACCACAATGGGGCGAGGCAAGAGGCCAACGCTGCGACATTGTGATGCTGCCCGCCGGCAACAGGAATAAAATAACAAGAAGAAGAAGAAGTGCTTACCTCTCTTCTGCGGCGTCTGCATGGATGAGGGCGACGGCGTCGACTGCGTCTCGGCCAGCAGCTGCAGCAGCAGCAACAGCAGCAGCAGCAACGACGGCGCCCACAATCCAAATCCGCAGCTGTAAGCTGCTCCGGCTCTGGCTCCGGCACCGGCTCTATTGTTCTGCCTCATCGGCCTGGTGACTGTTGATCCTGTGGCTCGTCTGTGAATCAGATGCGAACTGTGATTCGCTTGTTGATTCGGTTTCTGTTTCGGTTTCTGTTGCTGCTTTTGATTCCACGCGCGTTTGCTGTGGCTCATTTCGCACTTTCTCACGACACTTTTTACACTTCTCTTTCCTTTTTTTATTCCAGCTATGATAATTTATTTATTTATTTTTTTCACTCTCTCTCCCTCTCTCTCTCTCACGTTATCTCACTCTCTCTCTCTTGGTCAGTCAATTCATTTATTGTTTCATTGTTAATATTTATTCAAATTTATTTGTGTAATAAAATGCCATGGATATTGCTAAATATATATAGTATGTACAGAAAAAGAGAATGCATTGTAATAAATATGAAATATGCAAATGGTTTATTCAATAATCCCCCGCGTTATTTGTTATGCAACATTTGTTATTAATTTAGCAGCAATTAATAATGTAACTGGCTAAAGTTCAACTATAACATGCCTTGTCACCCAACTCACAATGCTACAATTAAAGCTGACATTTGGGGAGAGTTAAATTAAATCTCTAAATGGAGTTCTCAGCTTAAAGACTTGCAAAAAATGTGATTCATGCCAGAAAGTTGCCTTTAAAAAACATTTAGACCTTGTCACAACGAACAAAAAAGCCACAAAAAAATGGCTGTCACATATTTCTTGGACATTGGTTTAGCTGGATTCGTTGGTCTGTCCGTCTGCCTGGCTGGCTGGTTGGTTGACCTCCAGGCACACTAATTGCTGCAATTTTTCAGGCTCTGGAGCGCAACGTTTCGTTGCCCGGTGTTACACATTTTTGGGCTCGCTTTTGGAGTTGCATTTTTTTGCTGCTTTCTGTTTATTTTGCTTTTTTATGGAAATGCAGTTCGGAAAATATCAAGAAGCGGCCAAAAGTCCTTGACATGTCGGCGCTCTAATGAACAACGATGCGGCGGGCTCAAGTTCCGGCCGTAGGCAGCTGAGAAATGGCTGTCATTTTTTTATGCCGCTCCTGCGACTCAAGAGAGCCACTCAAGAAGGTCGACAGATGGTCCGCAATGAAATGGTTTATTTTATATAACACACAAGTGGATTTATTTACAGCATCTACCAAAAATGTGAACAGACACTTATTCAAATCTAAAGAATATCCCAAGGCCAAGTTAATTAATTGTAAATAACGGCTAAGTACCCAATTAGAGAAGCGTCCTGTTCCAGCAAATGTCAATATCGTTGGATGTACTTATTTAAAAAAAATCCCATTGAGTCAGTTTTCCATTCTAGAAACACGCTTCCCTCCAACCCCACTCATATCAACGATAGCAATTAATAGCTCATACTACTTTAGTATAAATATATGCTTAAATAGCATAAGTTAGAAAGCTGCTCGACTATAAAATCCCCTGTACTTCTCAGTCAATATAATGTTTTGGTGTCTAGCACCAGGCCTTGAATTCTTTAATTCATAAAATATCGCCCAAATGTTAAGGGCGCAAATATGGCATTCAAATCACAAGTCTTTTGCTCTAAGGTTTGTTTTCTTTTTTTCATTTTTATGCAGATTTGGGCAGGTATCTAATAAGTGATATATTTCTTACATACATACCAAACGTATTATATCTAGCTCTTAAAGTTCTTGAATTATGCTTAACAGAACAAGGCAAAAAATCGAATTCTATCGATATTTAAAAAATGGGACACGATATCGATAGAAAGTGATATTGCGGCTGGCCAAATGTATACTTAATATTCAAGGTCTGTAGCTCTTGTTCCTCATATTTCCGAGATCGACGAGTTCATGCAGACGGACAGACAGCCGGAATGAATGGGAATATGCTCGTCCTGATCAAGAACATACATACTTAATGGGGTAAAACTTGCCGCCTTTTGCCTGGTACATACACTCGCACAAAACCAATATGCCCATTTTGACACATTTGCATGGTGTAAAACTAAAATATCGAGGCAAAGATTTATTAATATCTCTTCAAAGAGCATTTCTAAATATATATATGGCATATTTTTCTTTTGTATTTTTATGACTAGAATTTGAATCACACATAAAACTAAATTAAACAAAAAAAATACTCCGTTTTAATTTGAACTTTGTCCATTTCAATCACAAATATTTTTATGCTTTTTAATAGTTTCAATAAAGTTCAAACATTTTACACTGTATATAGTTGTCATCTAACAAAGGGAATTTAGTTTCAGTTTTTTTCCGAATTTGTTTACTTTTTCGTCACATCCCAATCCTTTTTATCTGAAACCCGACTGGACTGTTAACAGCCTTAACTACTGATCAAATAGTCCATCTAAATGTATGTTCTATTAATCTTGCTGCCAGATTTACACAAACAGGTTGGCCTGTGCCTGGTCGAAAGTAGACCAAGAAATAGGATTCAAAGCCGGCTGCTCAATATTTCAAAAGAGCCAGACTCTTGTTGGGGCCCAAGGCAAAGAGACCCTCGAAATGCGGCGACAGCAAAAGGGACCCGAAAGCGCCACGTGGAACGTGGAGGCGACAGTAAAAATCAGGGCGGGTGTGCATATGGCAAAGGCAACAACATAAAACAAATCCAGTCGAGTGAAACCCAAATCGGGAGTGCGGGCGGATTTCCTGTTGGCGATTGATGGACGAGGCACGTACGCGCTCGTTTATTTTTAGTTGGCAGGGACCAGCACGAGTCCCGATAAGAGCCCTTCAGTTCCGGCTTGCTTTATACCATATTATTATTATTCAATTTAATAT